AGCGCCATGAAGGTGTATCTTTGAGTTTGATGATTGATGGAGTTGGTTGTACCAATGCGACTAGCTATACTTCAGTGGGAATGTTGAGTGTATCAACTTTGGAGTATTCTAGACCATATGAGCTACAATTGTTTGAAGATGTCGTGAAAGATGGTTTCTATATGCTCCTTTTTATATCTCCGGATTCGAGGACGAATCCCTTTTAAAGAGGGGGAGTATGATACGATCCACACAAGCTCAAAGATGAAGAATTGGAAAAAGCGCAAGCGTACGAGTTTGGAGAGGATATTCGAGTTATCCTTGGAGAATAAAGGTTTTAATGAGACTGTTGAAGAGTTAATGGTTTGGAATTGGAAGAAAAGAAAAATGAAATTCGTTGGACAAGTCGAATTTCATGCATCTCGAAATTCCCGTATGATTCTGGCACAGTTTACGATTCAGCTTATAACTCTCTCACATGACGTCCAAGTAAGGTGATTCAAATTTATGAGGAACCCTAACTGAAAGTGCTACAACTTTCATGGTTAGAGTGGGAGAGATTCAAAGTGGAACAATGTCGAAATCGAGCTTGAAGTTCCTGCACGTGCACAGCCAAATGACTACGCGAGTTTACAAGGGTGATCAAGAAGTCGACTTGATGTTCAAGTTATTAAATTTAATTATGCACGTTTTTATGTTAGGATTTATTATGTTTCTATTATGTTTTTTTTTATTATTTTAGAGTTCTTTGTCGTTAGGATTTTCTTATTTATAGGTTTTGTTATTATAGTTTAGGTAAGAGTCCTTTTTCTTGTGAAAAATGAGTTTTTTTAAATCTTATAAATAGGTTGCCAATTCGGCCTATTTTGATGAACGGATTTGAATGAATATTTGAGTATATTGAGAGTTAATTCTCCTTCGCTGTTCTACAGCAAATTTCGGGATTTTACAAGTGGATTCTTGTAATTTTCTTAGCGCCATAATATTGGTTTCTGGTTCTTTATAACTACGGGGTCAATATTATATTTCACCTTGATAATATTGGTTTCTAGCTCTTTATAGCTATGGGGTCATTATTCCTTGCTTCCGCCAACATTGATTCTTTGTTTTTGGATGTCTTCGAACTTGCTTCCGCATAAGGTATTGGGTCTCGTAATGAGTTCTACGGGGTTCATATCACCTATCCTACCATTGCAAGAGGAAGGCATCGATGACGAGGATGAGGAAGATTCACTTCCTAACTGTGATTTATATTCTCAGAATGAAGAAATAAACACAGATTGGACGGATATGGGCATGACAACGACGATGGGGCGAATGCAAAAAAAAAAACGGAGGTATAAATCCATGAAAACTATGAGGTATATATCGTTTTCATTTTTTTTAGAAGGGGTAATATGCTACGAGCCCCTAATTTGAAACCTAATTTGAACTAGACAACTCTAAATCCATTTTTTTAATTAACTCCTTAGTTTGAAATAATATATGACCTACATCCTTAATTTTTGTAATCCCTATATTGCCTTTAACCCTAAATCTTATAACCACATCTTCACGTTTATTTTCCAGATCTACTTTTTCTCTTTTATTCTTCTCTTTCTCTCTGTCTCGCGTTTCGCTCTCTGGCTTTCTCCATCTCTCTCGTTCGAGTTATTTCTCTCAATCAAGCTCTCTCTCTTCACCACTCCACTCCATGGTTTGAAGGGAGGTGGTGGCAATGACGATGGAGGCGGCGGTGGCATGTGGGGGGTGACGATGGAGGCGGCGACGGCTGCTCTAGAGGGGAGGCGCCAGTGATGACGCGTCGTTGGGCATGAGGATGGCGCTCGCTGGGCGCCGGCGCTCGGGGATGGTGCCGGTGGCGCAACAATGTTGGGGGGTGGGGATGGCAACGGCAGCGTGGGTTGGGTTTGTGGCCTCTTTAACGGTGTGGGTGGGTTTGGTAGAGGGGATTTTGGTTTGGTGGGGGCAGATCTAAGATTTTTTCGATTTCCTGTCTACAGATGTCTGTGGGTGTCTGGCGGCTAGGGTTGAAAGGAGGAGTTAGGGTTTTAAGAATATTGTGACTACGAATTACTACATTTTTCTACTGGTGTCTATACGTGACTACGGTCTACTACAACTTTCCTACGATTTTCTATAGATGACTATGGCCGAAAAAAAATTAAAAAATCATAATTTTCAATATTATGTAGAAAAAAAGGAAAAAAAATAGATTATTATAATTGTGAAAAAATACGAAAATGCAGGAAAAAAAAACATGTTCTACGAAAAAAAATAATAACAAAAATGCTAGATGCAAAACTTAATATATTAAATGCAGAATAAAAATGATAAATACAGTTTAAATATTACTCTATGCAAATTTTATTTTTTGTGTAATGAGGGGCATTTTTGGAATGAAATTTATAAAGGATGTGAAGCAAATGTTTATTTTGACTTGTCATTTAATTCTAATAAGTTTTGTCACAGAGACCTATATCTTATAGCCCATTTTTAAAACTGAAATGATTTGTGCAGGCCAAAATTAAACATCCAGGCACATTTTTTACCATTCTTCAAAAAACAAAAAGTAAAAAAACTCAAAAACTCTCTCAACCTTTCGATTTTCTTTCGCAAAGCCCGTGCAAATCGTCAACAGATCGGAGGTAATTTTTACGTTTTTACGATCCTCTTGTTATGTAGATTACGAATCCGGAAAAAAAACGAAAAAAATCGGACTTTTGGCCTGCTCGTGTGAATTTACACGAGCGCATCCACTGTGCTCGTGTAAATCCACACGAGCAGGCCCTTTTATTATTTTTTTTTTTTAATTGCTCGTGTAAAAACACACGAGCGTTTGCAAAGGGCTCGTTTGATTTCACACGAACGCTTTTCAAACGCTCGTGTGTTTTTACACGAGCAGATTAATTTTTTTTTTTTTTTTTTTCCTTTTTTTTTTTTTGAATTATAAGATGCTCGTGCAAAAACATGCGAG